TCCTTGCAATGGTTGCAAGGAGACATTAGGAAAGAAAAACAAATAAGAACAGTTTGTTTGACTATAAATCTCAATGTTTTAACCTCTTAATAATTTCACACTTATATTCTAGAAGAAAAGTTAAAATATATATCTCCCTTGATAAAGTTTCTTGTGCTGAAAGTAAATTGCATGATCAAAACAGTAACATTTATGGATTGTCTTTTGTTTGGTTCATTGGCAGCACTGCAGTTTTGTTTCTACATTTGTGTGGATTTTGCCTTAACTCCGGTAGGAAAATCACGTTTTGCAACTATTTCTCAGGAAAACATTGAGTTGGTTAAGAGAGTAAGGGTAAGAAGGGAGCAAAACCAAGGAAGCCTGACTGTTACTGACATTGCAGTGGAATCTAAAAGAAACATCCAGTCAGACAAAAATAGGAAAAGTGTGAGTGCATTTTTATTACTGACCACTAGTTTTAATATCCAATCTACTTTCAACAAGATTAAGAACCAAAAAGCAAACAAATGTCTTTTTGTTTGTACTCAATACTTTTTCATTTGAAGGAAAAGTCATCCTGAGGTAAAAGAGCATGTTGCTCTTTTAGGCTTTACAGAAGCCTAGAGCTTCTGTCTAAGTACACCTGGATAGAGGAGACACCTGCAATTACTAGGACACTTGGTTTTGATGGAACCTCTGAGACTTGTCTAAGGGTGTTAAAATCAGGTATAAAACAAGAATGAATTCCCATATGCAATAGCCAAATCTGTGTCCTGCCTACAAGACATACAGGACACAACCTTTCCTCTGTGTTGTGCAAAAACCAGCTGTTTTTGCAGGCTCAGACATCAGGGAGAGTAACAACATTCCATGAGAACATAGCCAGCAGGAGCTCTGATTTGCAGCACAAAGCACACAGAGTGATTCTGCACCCTCTGTACCATAAATGTGACCACAACTGCAGAAACTGATGGTGGGTATCTTGCCTTAAAACATAACAAAGCTGGATATAACTGAGTAAATAACTTCTGACCATCTTCTCTTTTTTTGGTATTCATCCTTAATCTGACAAGATCAGCTGAGGGGTGCAGAAGGTCTCTATGTCTGTCTGAATTGCATGCATGGGATCCCCTACTTTGGCAGCAAGCAGACAGTTACAAGTACTCCAGGGTGCCTATGCTTACAGTTTTCTTATTTTTTCAGTGTTATGTTCTATACTCCCACATATGACCATGCAAAACCACCATTAACCTATATATCTCTTTTTTCTAGCTGATAGGATGGTTCCTGATAGGCAGCATCATTACTGTGGCACTGATTTCAACATGTGTCACCTACTGCTGCTCCCCGGTCAGCTATCTTCAGTTCAACTTCTGGAAAATTTACTCAAGAATAGAACATGAACTCTTTGAGACCAAAGCCAAAGAGCATGCAACCAAGCTAGCAGAAAGAAATACAAATTGCTTTTTTGAAGCCACTGACCCAGCACCATTTCATACTCCCAGGAATGAAGACTGGCAGAAGGTTTCAATCTTGTATACCTTTAATTCACAAGAGCAGTATTACAGCATCTTACACAAGTATGTGAATACCAACAGAGGCAAGAGCACAAAATTCAGGGAAGAAGGTCAGCATCTCACTGTTTTAGAATTTGTGGATGAAGACCAGGCAAGCGTTTCAGGGTTGTAATGAAACAAATCCTTTGCAATGCTGGCAGCCTTTTTAGCCCTGCTGATATGAAAAGAGTCTTTTTCTCTGGTCTTACTGAAATCTATGCAAACTGAAAGTGAAAGCTGATAGTTGTAATCCTCAGTAGTTTTGCTTTCAAAAACATTTTCATCCTTTTGCTTAAGTACATTTAAAAGGGAGTTTTCTTATGTTGTTGTCCATTAAGAAGAGTTGTATGTAAAATAATCAGCATCCACAAAGATGTCAGCACATATTATGTCAAATAATTATCAATACTTTAAAAGCACTTGGCAGGTGGAGTAATAATACCAAACCTTGTATTGTAAGAGACGAAGACAGGAATGGAAGATTTGATCAGAAATTCAGCTTAGTTTATTAGCTCTCTCTTTAAAATGAAGCTTTCAGTGAAGCTTAGAGCAAGCTATAGATTAAAAAGTTTATTTTGTGTTGAGGGATTAGGCTTATGCATAGCATGGCAGTGTAGGTGAAGTTTATATAATAACAAGCATTAAAAGCACATTCATACATTTAAGGACATTAAACATCTGCAATCCATATTAGCAAGTAGTAATATTCTTATCAAAGAACATCTTATTATAAGAAATAAAGATACAAGTTTTGAATGAAGAATAATAAAGTCCATTTTTCTTCTGAAAAGCTGTCATTTAAGGGAGCATTTTAGATCTGTAAGTCAGATTTTTGGTCTGGGCCATCCATTTACTTCTCCCAGAAATTCTCTCTTTTTACACAATAAACTCAGAAATCATTCAGACAGACAGACAGACAGACAGGAATCCCAAGAAGATATTTGTTACCTTCATTCTGAAAGGAAGGAAGAAGGGGAGAGCCTATTTTATCTAGCTGAATGTAACGAGTTTGAAGCTTCTTTCTTACTATAAACTAAAAATATAACACATGAAGACAAAACCAAATTTAATTCTGCATGTAGAAAAGAATTTTTAAAAAATATTCATCACAGTCTCTTAATTGTTCAGTGCTCTTTTCCTTCTGAGAAACTGGATGATTATGGAGTAACAGTGCAGGCTGGGGGCTGACCTCTTAGAGAGCATCTCTGTAGAGAAGGACCTGTGTGTCTGGGTGGATGGCAAGCTATGAGCCAGCAGTGCTCTGGTAGCCAGGAGGGTCACTGGTGACCTGTGGTGCACTGGGAAGAGTGTGGCCAGCAGGTCAAGGGAGGCGATCTCCTCCTCTACTCTGCCCTGGTGAGGTCACATCTCAAGTGCTGTGTCCAGCTCTGGGCTCCTCACTCCAAGAAAGACAAGGAGCTACTGGAGAGGACCCAGCAGAAGGACCACAAAGGTGATTTGGGTCTGGAGCATCTCTCTTATGAGGGGACACTGCAGGAGCTGGGCCTGTTTAGTCCAGAAAAGAGAGGATTGAGAGAGGATCTCATTAACACCTCTCAAACGTGGTTGCAAGAGGAGGGTGCCAGACTCTTTCCAGTTGTGCCCAGCAACAGGAGGAGCAATGGGCACAATCTAAACCACAAGTTTCACCTCAACATAAGAAGAACTTTACATTGAGGGAGGCAGAGCATTGACACAGGCTGCCCAGGGAGGTCATGGAGTGTCCCTCTCTGGAGACAATCCAGACCCACCTGGATGTGTTCCTGTGTCACCTGCTCTAGGTGACCCTGCCTTGTCAGTCGGGTTGGACTAGATGACCTTCAGGGGTCCCTTCCAACCCAAACAGGTCTGTAATTCTGCAAGAAAACAAGGACAGTACAGGTTATTCACTTTAAAGATAATAATTTTTAAAAAGAGAATATTTGGTTAGTGTTGCTGGAAAAAGTAAAAATGGCCATTGCCAATAAACAGCCTTTATTGTGGTCAGCCACATGTACATCTCAACCAGCAAAAACCCCACTCAGAGCTCTTGTACAGGCAGTGAAATCAGACAAATTCCACAACACATTTCAGCTTTAATTCCCCCCAAAAAAAAAAAAAAAACAAAAAAAAAAAAACCAAACCAGTAATCATATTTTTTTTCTAAAGGCAGGGAAACTTGTTACCGTTTATAACATATTGTTACACCTACATGTTGCCACTTCTTACTGGTAGCAGGTAACAGCAGTTGGGCTGAGACCAAGGCTGGGTAACAAACAATTTAGCTTTTGTTCCCTACAAAATTGCTCACTTAAAGCTCCATTCTGTTATGCCACCACTGTACCACACCATTAAGACAAACAAATGGGAGAGAGATTATAATGAGGACTGTTCAGATCTGGTGAGAATAAACCCAAGATAAGAGATGCCCTCACTTAGCATGATGAAGATGTAAACAGACTGAGTGAAAAATAGAAAAAGAAGGTACAAAACACAGAGATAAAATCAGAGTTAACTTGGGGCTACACACTTAGATGTTGGTTTCAGTTTAAAACACGTGTTTTGGTGAGAAGACGGTAAGCTGCTTTGTGGGTAGGGTGCTGTGCTAGGACCTGGGGATTTGTCCAACCCTTACCCAGACATCTTGCATTACATCAAACAACTTTAAACCTTTCCTATAACTTGGGTTTCTCTGAGGCTGCTCCTTCTCTACCTCCTAGTCATGTGGAGTAACAAGCCCACTGCCAAGAGGAAGACATTCAGCAGCTGGTGGTGAAGGCCAGGTAAGAACAGAAAACATGACCACCAAACCAGTTCTGTGGCAATCTCAGAATTTTAATTCAAGTTTCCTTAGGCAGGTACAGATCCACAATGGCTATACATTAAATACGTCATGCTTTGTTCAGTTTGGCCACAAGATCAGTGCTCTTGGAGAGAAGGCTGACATGAAAAGGCCCATAGCTTGGTGAGACAAGCGCTGCTGCAGCTGTCAGAGTGCTGCAGCCTGGTGTGTGCACAGCACTGAGCAGGAGTGCCAGCAAAACTGCATGTGGGGCCTGAAGAGCTGGAAAGAACACCACCAGCGGCAGTGAAGACCCATCCCTCCATGGTTTCAAAGACAGCAGGATGTCCAGCATGGAGGACAATGAATGGCAAAGCATTACACATCAAAACATGCACCTGTGAGCGAGACACTGCATACAGCAATGACAGCAGAGGAATCCTTTATGGATAACCACACACAGCCAGGGAAATAAAGCACCTCTAGCAGCCATGCTTTGAAACATTACTGACAAAACGGGAAAAGGGCATCAGCTTTACCTGAAAACAGTTGCTATACAGAATAACAACTAGCACACACTAAATACTGAGATAAAACTTCCATTAAGCTCAAGAGGCTGGGTATGTGAGAAGAAAGGGCAGATAATTTTGATATTTTTTACTGATATCCATGTCACAACAATTAACATTGTTGTGACAATGTTAATTGTTGTGCCCTGCCCCTCCTCTTTGCTGCCCAGGTCTCTTCACCTTGCAACCAGCTGACTAGTGCAGCTGACTCAGCAAAGCCGTTTTTACCCTGTCTTCTTCTGAAACAAAAGGCACAAAATATCCCCCAGCAAGGCTCTCTCCCAATATTCTTTTCATTTGTTCCTTCTGTGCTTTCTGTCTTCAGGCTTCCTTAAAAATGTAATTCCTATTTCTGTCACAGCATCACCCTTCAGTCTGTCCTGGAGGAAGGAAACTTCTGCTGCCAAGTGAACCTGGAAAGAATCAGGTCTGATCAGTTAAGCAAAGAAATGCCCAGTTTTCCATCCTCCTGCAGTACAATGAGCTTTTTCTCTCTCTCTTACCACAAGAGGACCCCCTTTCTCAGGTTTTATAGGAAACAGATATCTAAATTGTTTTAAAATTGCTTTCCCAACTAAGCTAACACAATGGCAGTTTATAGACGCTGCAATTTATATAGCACATTACCCTTCTCCCCAGTGCTTTGTTTTCTTCTGAGACCCTAAATTGCATTCTTGATGATTTTGTGATCACAGAATTTCCTAGTCATGTACTAAGACCTATGATATAATACTTTTGTTACTTAGTCGTGTATCAGATGCTGTAATTCTGAGACTGATGTATGTGCATAACACTGCAGGGTTGAGTTTTTTGTCTCTTGAAATATAAGATCTATGCCGAGTCAGATATTGACAAAAAAACATAAAGCAACCCAAAAGTAATCTCCCTGAAGAAGCTCTACAGGTCAGAAATTTTCAAATTATGCCCTTTATTTACTTCTTTGCAAAACCTTACATTTAAGAACAAAATTTGCATTGCTGTCTGATACCCTTTTGATGCTTTGGTTTTAACATGATACTCCTCCACACTTTGTTCTCTCTTTCAGCAGGTACCATGGTAACCTGAGAATATTATTTATCTTGATGTATTTGGAAATAATCAGGGATGTCTATTACTGGCTACAGCTGTGCAGGGAAGTGTGATAGGCTCCAGGAGCAGCGGAGAAACCCAACATGCCCCTCTGTCCCTCCACTTTAAGTGTTACCTGTCTTCCTGATCCCACCTGGCTTTTGCACCCAAGTCAGCCACTGAACAGACTGAACAGCCAGGCAGGGACAGTGTGCTTCTCTACTTCAGGATCCAGGATCAGCCTTGTCCTCTTTTATCTATCCTTGTCTTATATTTTATCTAAATATAGATATTTAATCCAAGAGGTTAAACAATACTGTATTTCCTACTTTTATCTGAACAAGTGATTTTGTTTTCCTGTGTTTCTGAGAATTAACAAAGAATAGAGAAAACAGGTATGCACTTCCTTACCATTTCCAAGGCACCTCGAATCACCCCACAGAGGAGGTTACAATAGCAAAGTGACGCTCGTTCCGCTGGCAGCTCCTCCACAAAGTCCACTAGTGGGTTTTTGTCCAGGATTAAGGAGAATTCATTCCCTGTGGCACTATTACAGCTCACACTAGGGGTGACCCCAAGGTACATCTTGAAAGCAACCTTCAAAAGAATGAAACTCTGCTGCTTAAATGTGTTGTGTGCAAACCAGAGGTGAAACTTTAAAAAGAAGCATCCTGTAGACCAATTTTACCCCAGGAAATAAGGCGAAAGAGTCAGACAGGATAGAAATCAAAGTACATTTGTCTCTTCTGTGATCAGCTTGAGCCAGCAATGCAAATCTAGAGCTGTGTGATGCTCCAGGAAAACACAGCAGAGAGCTGTACTTCTTTGAAGTTCCTACATTTACAACCCCACACAAAGTGGTTTTACTGTTATCACTCCTCTGCTTTCAGTCATGTCATACTCCCTTGGGACCATTAGCATCTATATTAGGTCATTCACTACCTCACCAGCAACTTCTGTAATCACAGCTCAAGATCTCCCGCAACTCTGATCTCCCCATCTGCAGTCTCTTCAAAAAACAAAACAGCCCACCAAGAACAAGATCTCCAAGACTGCAAACAGCTGTTTACACGGAGCACCGTCTGCTTCCTTTCCTGGACGGGTGAATTGTACTGTGAATGTGCCCCATCCGTGCTCCGCAGCCGTGACATCACGGGTTATCTCGGCCGGGCGTGGGAGGCGGCAGAGAGGCGGCTGCGCCTCCTCGGCAGCGCTCTGCCCCGCTGCAGAGAAGCTGCCGCGACTGCCACCTCCTTAGTGAGTACCAGAGATGGATGCATTCCAAACAATCCTGAAGTTCTTTATGAACAGGAAAACCGCTATCGGTTACAGTTTTATGGCGCTGCTGACGATGGGAGGTGAACGTGTGTTTTCTCTTGTTGCTTTCAGATGCCCTTGCAGCAATGAAAACTTCAGGTACGGTTTGGTATTTCTCTTCTCGCCAGCTCTTGTTCTGCTGGTTATCGGATACTTCTTGAACAGCAAGACCTGGAAACTCTTTACAGGCTGCTGGGTGAATCCCAGGAAAATATTCCCCAGAGGGAATATCTGCCATTTCTTTTATGTCTTTGGACAAATCACTTTAAATGCTCTGGTAGCCCCAGTGATGTGGCTTTCCGTGGCTTTGCTCAACGGGACTTTTTACGAATGTGCTATGAGTGGCTTGAAAAATCCTGCCTACTTACAAGCAGTTTGCCACAGCAAATCGGAGAGCTGCCTTGAAGAGCTACACAAAGTAGCCTGTGACAAAAGCTCCCTGCCCTTTTCAGAGAGTGATGAACTGAAAAGAACACTTCAAGCACAGTCCCAGGTAAGAAAAATTATAAACAAAGACCATTATCCAGGTTGTACTGCTGCTGGGATTTATCTGTGGCAGATCCTGATGTCAGAAGTTTTGTTAACACTGTTTGCTTCATGTAAACCATGTTTTGGCAGCCTTGCAAAATACAGTCAATCCATCTTTTGGTTCAGTTTGAGCTGCTTCATATTTCTTAGGGGTCCCCACTGGTGGCAGGGTCAATAAGACCAGAAAACCTAATGCATTCTTCCTGAATGGAGATTGCTCTAAGGAGGGGGGAAAAAAGCCCAGCTGGATTATTTAGAAGGCTGATGTCACCCCATTAAAGGGGTCGGTCCTATTAAAAAATTCATGCCACACAGTCATATTTCAAATCATTGTGATAACTGTAGGGAATTTTTATGTCACTAATAGTAGAAAAATAGTGGAAAATAAGGTTTGTAAAATATCTTTTGACTGCTTACATAATATGTTTCTATTTGTGTTCCTCATTTTCATGACAAAAGTAAGCGTGTTTTTGTCCTGCTTGGAGGAAGTGAGAAACAATAAAGCAAGCAGATCATGCAAAGCTGAGATCTTACTACATTCTACAGTATTTGTGCAGTACAGTTTTGCTCTCTGCAATGTAATGCAAATAAATTCAGAGGCAAAAAATCAAAACGGTGGAGAGAATTTTTAAAAAGCTACAGAAAAAGGGAAAACAATCTGTGGAGCCAGCAACTCTTTGTCAGGAATTGTATCCATCTGGAACAATTTCCTTTCCAAGAGCTGGTTTTATTTTTAAGTCCTCGTGCAAATAGGACAGAGACTGCCTGCAGACAAAGCAATTTGTTTGTTAGTTTTAGAAGGCAACAACAGATAGTGCTTAAGACTTTAAGCTTTATGTATAGGAAATACTGAAAGATCAGGGATTCAGTATTAGCATGAGAATATATGAGTTCATTTTCCAAGCTGCAAGAAAGTGAAAAACTGCTAAAAAGAGTGATTTTTCAAATACCCATAAAAATCACTAGTCAGCACAAAGTGATTGGGAAACATAAAGGAAAGCTCTAACTATTCTTCCATACCACTTCCTAAGAATAGTTGTTTGTCAAGCTTCTCTGTTTCACAGACTTTCCCAAAGAAACTTTCTATATTCCATCAGCTAAACACAGATTTTTATTGGTGGTTATTTTTCTCAACATCAGTGCAAAAGTTCGCATGAGAAAGGATTCAGCTCTCCATATCATCACCATTAGAGCATGGGAATTCAGTTCCAATTCATACAAGCCTCTGAGCCCTAGAATACTTGTCCCACACTGGAACTTTTTCCAGGGTTTGAAAACAAGTTTAATTTTTATTTTTTTAACACATTGCAGTGGATTAGACAAGTAAAACCATTGGCTAGGCCAGTGGCACAAGGCAGGAAAAATTGTGTTCACACTGCTGCTCTCCTTGGAGAAGAACATTCCACAATAACCATTTCAAGCACATTTTTCCATTCTTGCCTCTTGCTGAGCAAGTAATTATGGAAGTAGCTCTTTCTTTTAAAATGCTCTTGACAAAACTTTGTCCAAATCTGAAGCTGCTACAGAAAAAAGAAATTGAGTGATGCTGGTTAATTATGTGGTTGTTTTGTTGGAGGTTTTTTCTTATTAAAAATAAGTCAGAAAATAAATCACCTAACAGTGGTCACAGTTTAAAAGACTGATTGATTTGGGACTAAAGTTACTTGCCCTTTTTGGTTTTGTAGTTCTTCATGATTCAAAATTAGTAATTCTTGTTGGGTAGTTCTATGTAATGCTTTTAGCACTTAGAAAACACTTTACCATTTACCAAAGAGAAACCAAGAGGAGCAGTACTGAGAAGCCTCTATGCTGATGGACTTAATCTTTCTCTTCAGTCCTGTCTTGGTTTGAAAAGACAGGTGTCTGCCAAGGAAGGCAGGAGCCTTCCTTGAAATGTTAAATGTAAACCCCCTCCCTCCAAATTATTATAATTTTGAAATTAAGGGGCTCTCAGGCAAAGATATGGGAATAGGAATAACAGTTCTTTATTAGGAAAATTAAAAATACAAATGAAATAGTACAAGAAAAGAAAAGAAACCACTGACAGAGTCAGAATGCAACTTGACACCCTGTGGGTGAGGGTGCTGGTACCAGTCTTGTTAAATGGTGGCTGCAGTCCTGGAGTGACAGATGTGGTTCTGTTGAAGCAGTGATCCTGTAGATAGATGGGTGTAAGTTTTCTCTGAAGGTCTGGTAGCAGTGTAAATGGGCCTGGTCTTCCCCTGGGAAACCAGTGGAGAAGACAGTTGCTCCTCTGGGAGTCCAGTGGAAAAGGCTGACTGTGATGTTCCTAATCTCAGATTATATCCAGGCAGTAATGTTTGGCTCCTCCCCCTGGGCAGAGCTTCTCACAATGGCATGATATAATTTTTATCAGTCATGCAGTGAGACTCACTGGCCCATGAACAGCAGATATCTCCACGGAGGGAGGATTGGTTGTGGAAGAGCTAAAGAAAAACTGCCCAATTAACAGAAGATAACTGCCCCACCTTTAACAGATGGGAATCGAATACACACACCCATTTCCAACGTAAGACATGTTCCCATGTGGATGTCCCATTAACATCACGGCCAGCACCAAATGCAAACAAAGTGACCACACTTTGTCAGACATTTGTAATTCAAGTAGCATTTTCACTTGGGTCTTTTTAACCTGAAACTGATTTCTTTTGCCTTCCCAGATTTTAGGCTGGTGTGTGATAGTTACCACAGCTCTCCTCTCCCTGCTAACCACTTGCTGTGCCAGCTGCCAGTCAAAAGTCAGCCACCTCCAGCTGATGTTCTGGAGAGTGTATGAGGGGACGGAGAAGGAGCAACTGGAGCAGATTTTCCAGCTGTATGCCACCAAGCTGAGCGAGCGAAACCTGAAGTGCTTTTTTGAAAACAAGGAACCAGAACCCATTTCCCTGCCAGCTTTCCAGGCATGGGAAGATGCTTCCCAGCTGTACTCTTTCAGCAACAGCAAACAGCATTATAGCACGATTCACAGACTAGTTGAAGAAGGCCAGAAAGGAACCAGTGAGGAAAGAGAGACATTGCTGGACCTTGCGGACAGAAGGGAAGTACCATAGACCAAGTATAATTTCAGCATTTTTTATATCTTGTTAATATGGCATACTTCTAGCTGGTTTTGTCTCTGTATTCTTTTCACAATGGCCTCTTTCTTATTCATCATGTTTTCCCCCTGCTAGTTACTTGCTCCAAAAGGATGGAATGAAATTATTTCTCCACACAAGTGAAAAGGCTGAAGTTCTCCACAGCACCCAGAGTTCACATCACTGGCTCAGCATCAAGAGTTGACAGCACAAAGAAAGGAAAAATGGCTTCTACAAGCGGGTTTGAACAACATGTTATGCAAAATGTGCTATAGTGTGCTTATCCTACTAGAGACTATCAACAAGTAAAGTAATTTAAAGTGTGTGAATATAATAACAAGATATGTGTGGCTTTCTGACAGCCCACAGAAAGTAAAGGTTTTCTGTCCAGGTCATTTCCAGGCCAATTGCAGGTGCAGACTTGTTTCGAGGCACCAGTGATCCCTCAAGGCTTCTCTGTCTTTGGATATTTTGTCTTTGTAGAACATCTCCCTATTATCTGCTCCCAGTCTAGACTTTCTCTTTGTATGGATATAAAGTTCTAGTTTTGAGCAAGTTTCAGGCACTGGGTGCAGCCTGTAGTGCTATGTAATATTGTTGTTTCTGGGCCTGCAGCCAATGTTCAACAGAAGGTCTGGAAGGAAATTCCACTTTTTA